CATGCCATTGAACAAAATATGCCGTGTACGTAGGTTTCATGGGAGTTAACTCCCTTGTATCATATTGATACATGCATTCTCTCAAGGCAATGTTAATCTGGAAATGCTCTGGAAAATATAGCAATATCTTGTTGTCAGATTATTTTGATGTATCAATCAAACTAGCTCAATTAGTTACCCTTTATTTAGTTGAAGGGCCTTTTTAACACTTTGATGGATCTTTAAAGAATTACCCATTTCAAGTACGCAGAGACTTTCAGGGAAGGTAAAGCAGTCATCATTGGAGCACGAACTGTAACTAAAATGAAACGCTCAACAGCTTACACGTAAGTAAACCGTATACCGAAACTCAAATCTCTTTGGGAGAAAATTCACAATGACGACGAAGACTATACATAAGAAATTCCGTACTTCTTTTTAATTCTTTTGACGACACCTAAACATGTCTGTGCTAATAACCCGCACATATATAACTCATACACTACTTGTGTAGCTATTTAAATTATTTATTTATTTGTTCGTTTGTTTGTTTGCTGGCTTGCTTGAAGTCCTAACGCACGGCTTGTACAATAATGTAACGCAGGGTCGTTCGGTAGAGTAATGAATAAACGGTAGGTATGTCATGAGAGAAAATGAGGCAAAAATTATATACTAAAAGGTATAAATGGAAACGTTGTTGACCGACGTTATTGCAACGTGATTACGTGAACAGCAGATTTTTTTTCCTTTTAAAATTTTTCTAAGCTAAAGAAAGAGAGGGTGAATGTCTACGTGCAACACTTGTTCATGTCCATGGGTGTAGAATAGGGAACGGTACACGGTGGATTTAAATTAAAACCTTAGGCTTGTTAAGAGCACTTACACGTAGACGTATTTGACTTTGAGAAAAACTTGGACGATTCTGGAAAGATCTTGAGCTGAAGTACGATCATACAGCGTCCTATGTATAAACTTATTTTATGTTTACCAAATTGTATTTCAAATTACATTGATGTGGATATAGAGGCAGCAATGCCTGCGTCCACTCATATCATATTAAAACCTATTAAAGAGTTGTGTCCCAATTTTGAAATCAAAACTGTTCAACGAGATGAAAGAAAACAAAGAATCTGATGCACAAACATCAGACGTGTGTATCTACTCATTTTTTCCGTTCCACTCCTTTTATTTCATTTGCTTGATAGAACATATGCCAAAGAACGCTGTAATTATGATCAAAATAATCAAAGCCAACTCTTGGCACAACATCTCGGTGTTCGAACTTAACGGTAGACCAAAAGACAATCGCCACGAAAACACTGTTGTTCTATGCGAATCATTTACTTCATAGACCAAGTTGTCTTTCGGGTTGGTATCTATGATGTACAGTGAAGAAAATATCTGTGTAACTACTTGTCTTCCTTTATTATTTAACATATTTTCTTTATTTCATGTTATTGAAAACTAAATATATAAATAACATTTTCATGGTCAAGGGCTGGTCTATCAAAATTCGTTACGTCTATAAGAAATCTGTATCATATAGACCTATTGTCTATGGCGTGTAAATCCTATATTCTAGGACTGTCATCTAATTTAGAATTAGACTAATATTCCATGTATACGAAGCCTGGCTGAACTCCAACTAACAGGTCACAGCCAACTTTAGGTACGGACAGCAGGACCAACAGGGGCCTTACGACGATCTTTTGCACCATAGGTCATTTCTTCTAGACATCTGTGCACATCAAATCTCCCAATCACGTTCAGACTATGCGGAGTCGTTTAAGATCGTTTCGGGAATCGGGAATCCATCGCCTCATTTGACTCATACAAGTGCGTATTGCATGCCAAGTCGATTAAATTTGATGAACAGTAGACTAAGGATTTATATTCGAAGGAACTATGTAGAAGCATTAGGCATATACATCTCTGATAGTGATGGCCTCAGTAAACATATTGTGTTTCTCACAAAAAAAAACTTTATAGGTTTCCGTACTTCCGACTTATTGGATAAAAAATGCTAGGAATTGGTAAGCAGTTTGGTTACTCACTAGTGTGTAACAACATTGACGTAATTGTATTAGTCAAAGTTTTGATAATGACGTAACCATTATCGAGTTGGACAAAAATGATAACCAACAAGCACTTGCTTGGGGCCTCTATATCTGCTCCTTTCCTTTTACATAAAAGCGATATATCCATCGTTATCTTATATTTATAAATGCATGAGAGATCTAACATAACGATTATTTGATCTGAAGCTGCCACGAGAGTAAAAAAAATATCAATTCTGATGGGCGGTATACAGAAAATGTGCATTACACATGACGCTATCGAAATTGCGTTGAACGATCAGTATAGGAACGGTTTCTCACGGCTAAATCATTTAATGTGTGTATCCTATTGGATTTATCAGTTAACATATTTTACGTTATATCATATCAATTATACGCCGATAAAGATATTTCTTGTTAAAAATGTCATCTCAGTGAAATTCCATAAAAAACAATTGGTCACATGACACTAAACCAGGTCCTATTTTTCTGACAGCGGACTTACCGGAAGTGACTATGTATGAAGGAACCGCCAAAATGAAAGTGTAGCAAAAATGGAAAGAAAAGATAGAACCCCAGACTGTTGCAATGCGGATAGTTGATCTGTTTTGATCTGTATCTATTTGCAATGGTAAGTCACAGAACAGAATTGCCGCGGGGATCCATAATCATCTATATATTACACTGTAAGACCTACCGATTACTTGGGGAATTCATTATCATTGGTTGTCAGTATGATAATACTCTAGAAAAATACCGACCTTCTGACTTAAGAACGACTTGAGGACAATTTGAGAATGGATTTTCCGATTTGGGAATGTATTTCCTCAAAAAAAAAAAAAAAAAAAAAAAAATATGCTCGCGACGTCCATACAAAGTTACTCCGCGTAAGAAAATAGTCCGTCATCAACAAATCATTATAAAATCAAGTTATTAAAAAACCCATTGTGGGAATGATAACATCGTTTTAAGCTTGAATAAGTACATGAAGAAGCCAGTGACGATAATATTGTTTAAACTATATTTCTGCATAGTTATAAGGCAGATGTAATTACCCCGCGCACGTGTTTTCTTTGTTCCCGTTTGTCACGGATCGAGGATCTCGCGGATCGATGATTATTAAACCTAGAGGTAAATTAGAAGATATGGTATTTAGTTGACTTTTCATGAATGAAAAAATATATAAAAGGTAGAGTTCACGATGAGAAAACACAGTGTGATTATCTATATTCATAATACTTCTTCACAAACACTGTTATAAAAATATGTGACAAGAATGTATTTGTTCTATCAATGTCAAAGTAAAAGAATCTGTACAAGACAGTCTCTCATTCACATTTAATCAAGTGAGTCTTTTTACCGGCTTATAAAAATATAAATGCATGGCAAAATAGCACTATTCAATATTTTCCTGCTCATGTCTTGGTCCAATCTACTACAAGACTGTGTACGTTATGTAGCTTGAACACTTGTTTACAAAAAAACCATACCCTCCCCGAATTGTTCTTGCGTTGCCAGGGAAAACTCAACACATTATTTGCTAGAATGTAATAAATAAACAGCACTTAGACAGATTCATATTATCAGTTAGCCGTATCAATTATCATATCAGTTTTCTTTGATGATGAATCTCGAACTTTCTCGAGTTTTCGAGCCGTCCAAGATTTTGTAATCAAATCTTAAAATAGTTCAACTTAATGCATAGCCCTTTTGGATTTCCTTTTAATGTGTGATATGTTGTGTTGCATTTGTTTGACTAGTGTATCTTAAAATGTATTTGGGTTTATAACTCTGTTCAGTGATTTTACCATTGTATTGATATATACTATATTATGTCACGAACTGGCCATGATTATGATGAATTGACAAAGTGATTGTGCTACCTTGATATGGAATTTGAGTTGAAACGTGTGATTGATATTATATACGAACGGCAAGATGTTTATGGCGGTGTTTTATGGTATACACAATTGTCAATAGTTGTTTAGTGGTTATTTATAATATATAATTTTTGTATATATTTCTAGTGTCCATTTACAGCATTGATAAGAAATTCAATTCTTTATAACATGACTATATTATTCAGAATCGCGTTATTGTTAACGTCATTTTTCGTTATTGTAATATAGCAATATTATATTAACATCTGATGATCATATATAAATTAATATATTCTTCATTCCTAGTTTACACTTCATATCACTCCCTTACCCCTTTCCCTTTCCCTATTACCGCATGTGTAGGACTTGTCAGGGACGAGTATTGGCAAAATATATCAACTAAATAAGGTTAAAACTAAATACAAATACCGCGCACAACATTGTGGCATATGACGTCATAACCTTTTTTTGTTGTCTATTTGTTTTAGGTTTTACGATATAGCCTGAAAAACCTTGAATTGGTGGAATAGACAAAATTAAAATTGCTGTTTGTTCATACAAATGGAAATGTGCTTTAGTGTACGATGTTTTCGTAACATATCTATATCTTATATGGTTAATTATATTACCATACGGTCATTGACTCGTAATATATCTTATATAAGTAGAGAAAAAGTTAACATGAAAAAATAAATTAAAACCAAATCAAGTGAGCAATCAGATGAAGTTAGTATTCCAAGGACCTATGCTGTAGTCCGTATGTTGCGATACTATTTCGTTATTTTCACTCGGCTATGACTTGTAGTTTAGGGTCCCCACACCACTACCAACCTTGTTTTAGGTTAGTAGTGGTGGTTCCTAAATGTGCATTGGAAACTGTTTCAACAAGAATGAATATAGCTTTGATAAATTATTTATGAAAAAAACACCATAATTAAAAATATATAATGTTCTGCTTCCCTTGGAACAGGATTACTTTAGATTTAGTTATGTTAGTCGTTTATTCAATTATTATCAATTATACAAATTTGCATTTTCTGTACCAGTCCGCTTTTACAAACGTCTGCACTTTACACATACTGACCATTCTGTAGAGACGTGTGCGCGTACATTGCGTGTTAATGATTAATGGCGCTGCGGGACCAACATCCGTTTGTGTTATAATTTACACTCGGCTATGACTTGTAGTTAAGGGTCCCCACACCACTACCAACAACTAAATGTGCATTGGAAACTGTTTCAACAAGAATGAATATAGCTTTGATAAACTATTTATGAAAAAAACACCATAATTTATATCACTTTTATGGAAAGAAATAATACAGATAAAATAAATAGAATGTAATGTTCTGAGTGTAAATATTCACACCTGTGGCCACACAAAGTGGCGAGACCAGGATTCGAACCACGAACCTCGTACTGCTATACTGTCACTCTAATCAATTGAGCTAATCTGTTAATAGAAGGAAATAGAAGGAGAGATTGCTGTAATATGAAAAACCACTGTAAAAATATCTAATGTTCTGCCTCCCTTGGAACAGGATTACTTCAGATTTAGTTATGTTAGTCGTTTATTCAATTATTATCAATTATACAAGTTTGCATTGTCTGTACCAGTCCGCTTTTACAAACGTCTGCACTTAACACATACTTACCATTCTGTAGAGACGTGTGCGCGTGCATTGCGTGTGAATGATTAATGATGCTGCGGGAGCAACATCCGCTTGTATTATAACGTACAGCTGGTCAGCGTGCGTTCACGAGTAAAACACATCCTGTTAGCGAAGGATTGATAACAGTTATGTGTCAGATCACCAATTGCTAAAAACATATCTGCCAAGGCCGAGGGATCATTGACCATTACTTAGCGGAGCTATCCTTAGCTGTCCGTTTGACTGTGATACTTTCGGGAAGGACGTACCGCCACGTTAACTATCGTTGCAAAATATTTGCATGCCAGCGAGTCCGAATGTACCTATAAATAATGGACTGCTGTAACGTATTAAGAGATCTATATGTTTCCTTGAATATCGATTAATTATTACTAAAACATATGCTAAAATACACAAGTTATAGCTGATAAAGAACACTGCTGGGTCTCGTGAACTGTTCTGTCGACTGGTTATTTATAGAAATGATAAACGACCTTCCTATACCAGTAACACTTAAACTCTCTGTTTTCTTGTCTTTCTTACTTACTCATTCTTTTTAGTAGAGTTTCTCTTGGTTCTTCCGGTTAGTCCCTTTGTCAGAATGATAATGTGACCTGCTGGAACGTCATGCTCAATTTACGTCATTTAAAATAAAATAAGGCACATTAATTAGCATAATTACAAACGTCGACCATCATATCAAACAAACAAAAAAATCTATTTTAAACAGTAGTAGAACAGTAGCTGTTATAAATACATCGAATCGTTTTCAATGAACCTAAGAAAACCACTGAGAAAGATTTAATACACTTTTTCTTTGTGCTTTTTTTTATTGACGTAACTAAGACGATTGAAATACATTTCACAAAGATGCACTATCGCTAAAAATTGAAAATGTTTTAACGAAACTGTGTTGCAAATCACCAGAAATATTAAAAACGCATTTCAATCCTAAAATCAAAAAACAACGAAGAACCGAATTGCGTAACCGAATCGACATCAATTTGCGAGAAAAGATACATATTTTGTATTTTAAGTAATCCAAAACATAACCGCTACTTATAACAGACAACAATATTCATTTTGGGAAAAACTTCCTGGAATGTAAGCTTTGAAACGCCCAGTAACGCTGTTATCAAAGTACACTTGTTTGCCATGTATGTTTTTATAAATATACAAAAACGGCATATTCTAAGTTAACTTTATAATTACTAGATAAAACTAAAAGATTTGTAATTGTACTGGATTGTTTAACACATAGTGAACTTTTTAAAACTATCTTTCATCTTTGCTTTTATGTCAACAGCACATGACCTTATTGGTACTACTTGACGTTTGTGCTATACCTCAAGTAATGATTTTCTTTTTCATATGTTAATTTTAAGTAAATTTAAAATATGAAATGAGTTAACAATTTTCATTTGATATAGACTCTGCCGAGCTTTAAAAAAATGTCAAAATCATCTTTATCACATATATAACAATTAGAAATAAAAGACAATTTTCGTAATAAAACGGCTTCTAATACTATCGTTTTCAATGCCGCCATTTTGATTTCATTTCTACAGTCTTCAGTGCCATGTCACATTGTAATGACATAATATGTGTTGTCGTAATACTGACGTCACAACGTATGTCAAAACATGCGGCATTAATAAATATGTTATAGGTGTATTTAATGCATAATACGGTTGTTTTGTGATAAACCAGTTAAGCTAACAGATCGCATGATGCATAAAGAAACAAACTTCACATGGACCTCTTCACCCGATGGTTATTTCTCCGAGATATTCAGACAGATGCACGATACAAGGATGTGAGTAAACAGTCGGGAGGGAAGTTTGCCTTTTGACAGATTTATTATCAAGCCACGATTCAAGGTCGGAGCGTACTGGAAAAACTGCACGGGAAACAGTGTCTGACTGTCGTGGTTGGGCAAATAATGTTAATATTATATTTCAAACCTACTACACAGAGTATACAAGATTTGTTGTAGCCTTATTTTTTTTCAATTGATTTAGAAAATAAGCTGGTATGTATTGACGGGGAGTGATGCATCACTTAAATGTTTGAAAATATCAACTGTGTGTCTTGACAGATGAAAACACATATATAAGCCACATAGGTGTAGACTTTTTTTCTGAGTATGTGTACAGCACATTGTAATAGGTTAAATTTACATTCCATCACAGTATGCAAATGACACAACAATGTCATTCCCAATGAACTTGCAGCACTTAGACAACCTATATTCTACAGATCTTGTAAACATTAAGACCTTGAACCGTTGGCTGCCAATAGATACGTCAAAAACCAATAGACTACATATTTGTATAACTTCGTGTCTGATTGGCTTATATTAAACATAAAACATCACGTGCTCGAATTTACCTGTCCAATTTTCTTCATTCGCCACGTCTGAAAGATGGGCCAGAAGAACCACAACGAGGTTCCTAATTTCTCAAGCAGACGACAATAATGACGCGTCATTGCAAAACATGTATTGCCCTCGTTGTAGGGAAACATGGTCCTTTGTTTCACCTCGATTAATCATATGTAACGATGGCAAAAAACACTGTTTCCCTAAAACGAAGGCAAAACATGTCTATAATACATAGCTGACGATTTCCTGTTGGTTTCTTTCGGGATAAACACGTTATGAGAATAGATAAAACCATTTGCACTTCTATTCAGTCATCTCCGAATTTCAAGAGATCCGCTCACCATCTCACATTTTTACTCTGAGCAGTTTTATTTTTCATAACAGAACATAAGTCAAAATCCGTGCCACCTTTGTGGATAATAAGAGACGACTTATCTTGCAACCATTCCGACATCATGCGAAGCAGTAATCTCGAGTAATTCGACCTTCGGTTCGCACGGAAGCGTAACGGTACAATTGACCGGCTTTTATCTCAGTAGATCTGAGTAGCTCTTTGATAATTACGCAATGAATGTTTTAGCAAATGTTGTTATGGTCCTGTAACACACATTGTTATTGATGACAAACTTAATAAAGTAATTTTGTCAGCAATAGAAATGTGTGTTATAGGACCATAACAATATTTGCTGAAATAGTCATTATTAATATCTACAATTAGGTAGAGTAGTTATGCTTTGAACAGCAAATTAAGTCTTGACAACACTGAAATTGATGACGTCACAATAGCAAATGTTTGTATAGTCTCACTACAACATGTGCCTTCTAAGTGCATTGCAGTGGAAATATGCAGAGCAAATGTAAATATTCATCAATGTCTGCGAACCTTCAATTCTGTCAGGAGAAAATCCAAGTGTGCATATGTATTTCAGGAGCAAAAAATGTGCAGAGGTATATCGGGAGCATACATCTTGAAATTCGAAGGAGCACCTCCATACATTAATGACCATTAATTTATTGTTGTTATACAGTGGGTCCAATAAATGTTTTCATATCTTTGATTACATGTTGGTTTAATTCCCTCTGTTTTATCAGAAACTGATTTACATGAGCTATAACTCAAACAGATAAAACTCTATATATCTGTACACAAACGGCCGGCCCTGAGCGTGATCTATAACAGAGTATACATGATGTGTTCCAGTCTAACGACCTTTACGTAACATTGATCATTTAGGTGTCTAAAGATGCTGTGTTTTACCTAGCCAGAAGAAGAATATCATATCTAAACAAATATGACACAGCGTGTGTTTTGTGCTCTTCTGATACCCCGTGTGCATCGATTACATTCCTTCACGTAAATTATAGGCCCTTTGGACCAAGCAATTGGTTTCTGACATCCAGACCTGCGAATGCATTCTTTGTAAACGTTGTTCGATTTGTGTGTCACCTTTGACCTTTTGGCGCGCATAACACTCCCGCTAGGTGGCACGCTCGGAGTGTGTTTAATATCAGACGATAAAGCTACCATCAACTCTCCGAGTCTGATATAACAATTACCACAGCAGGAAAAGAACATTTCAACAAAAAACCTTTGCATTTATTTTAAGACACAAACTTGCATAGTGTATAAGTATATAATTAACATGCATTTCAAAACCATTAAATACAGCGTCAAATATCAAAACCAATATGTGTTCTGACGTGATGTTTATGATTTGTATCATGTGCATGTTGCCCTTAATAACACCAGTGTATACGCAACGGTTTATGACAGAACACATGCATGTTTTCTTCTGTAAAATATACATATATACTACAAGATTATGCAGAGTGTAACAACAACAACCAGGGCCGAATTACTCGAAGCCTGATCAGCTTAACGAGTGGTAAGTGAAACAAGTTGAACTTGTACTTTTTTTCAAAAAGTGAACAATTCAAAACAAACACAAAAAAAAAATGTAAATTTTAAGATATTTTCTCAAAAATCACATTTTGAACATTTGCGTTAACGTCACGTTAAGCTAACAAGACTTTGTACATATGGGCCAAGAATATATTCTAAAAATACTGCATTGTACAGCCGCAAACTGCATATAAAGTAGACACCTATCTCTCTGTATATAAACAACAGCAAATCACCTAACATATCACCAAATAATTATTTTTGCATTAGTTCGCGAAGTGAGACAATTATGGATTTAAATGACTTGCTTATATTTGTTAAAGTCATCATAAAACAAAGAAATGATAACAAATTGTGTTCTTTTTTGTGAATTAACTCCCTCGGAAATAATTCAATGAGAAAACAGTTGCAACAAATAAATATCCGCAAAAGAAAATCAGTGATTTGAAGTATATATATATATATTTTTTAAACCGTCTAAAGGTGTAGTAAAATATTAAATATATGTATACAAAACTGAAGGCACAATTGTCGAGATAGCTCGGTCTAGGCACAAGTGAATACAATGGCATTTCAATATAAACCATAGTTTAGTCGGTCTTACAATATAAATCATACCGAAGTAAGCTGCTAAACCGCTGTTATCAATACAGCATGTTTTTTGAATTAGCATAAAATATACTTACATATTTCATTGAAATATAGAGAGCTTCAAATTTTAAATTCATAGTAAATGGAATTACAACCTAATCAGACTTTTAGCTAGCTAAATTAACGAAATCGATAATTATATACAGAAAAAAAAATGTTATTCCATTATTTAATGAGATTGTTTTTGTTTTGTTTTATTAATTAAATACATGTTTACAAGAAATAGGGAAAAGGATATTTAATTAACCAAACAAATACGCGGTGGTAACCGCTCAGGTGCCAATTACACAAAAACATGTTCGCGAGGGAGCAATGGCACCCAGCTGGCATGAGAAATTCGCCATGTCAACAAACACCCACTTAATCGGGGCGAAGATGTATTAATAAAAAGCTACATGCCAAACATCGATGCAGAAAAAAATAAGCCTACACAGATAGCACGACGGAAGACTGTATATCAACATTCTGATTAATCTTAAATCAATTACCTTCGGGCGAAAGACCCTTAATATTTGGTGAAATGACACGTTTTCCTTAGTTAACATTAGTATCAATCCCAGTGCATGAGCTTTCCAAAATCGGTCTCTCGTCAGCACCGTTATCAGTTATGGTGCTCTATCGTGGATTCACTGGGTTAACGCCCTCATGTTAGCATTATCAATCGGTGATTACCACAGTCAGCGTCCTCCTTTAATTACCTGTATATATAACGCACGTCCAGTCAATCAAAACACAGAGTTGGTTGCCCTTCCTGTAAGCGTGGAAAATACATTCCATATAACAAGATGTTGGCTTTGTAAAAGACTTGACTGACTGGCGAACTCTCATTTTATCACTCGGCGGAATTTATCTGTATACAAATTCCAAAACCAATCTTTTATCGCAGTTGTACAGATTTGTATGAGCAACAACCTGAAATATCTTATATATTTCCACTTCGATGTATACCATAAACCTAAACTTTTCTCACTATGTGGAACACATGCTCCAAAACTGCCTTCAGTTCACAGCAAGAGTTTTCTAATGTTTTTAAAATTGATTGCACCAATATAACATTTGCCCTTTTTTCAATTTTAAAAATGATATATCAGACAACAGTTCGAATCATATAGTTTTCGTTGTATTCATAGCACTAATGAAGAAGTTTTCCCCTTATTTTATATCAACATATATCAATATTCTAAATCATCTGCATAATTGCGTTTCCCCTTTTTTATATCAACATATATCAATATTCTAAATCATCTGCATAATTGCTTTTATATCAACAATCTTAGTTATCCCCATATTTGTTTACATTGATATATCAACAATTTTAGGTATCACCTGTTATGTAAAAATGCCATAACACAGTAAACATTTTATATTTCCCCACATCTAAACACTACACATCTAAGGTAGTGCAAAATTATTAATTTTGACATAACGACACTCTTTTATGATATGTTAATAACCATTTCCCTTGATTGAAATGGGAACAATCTGACGTCAGAAGCGGTGACCCAGCTTTTCCGAAAGAGGTCCCACATTTATTTCGGATGTCCAAAGTAAACTTTATCAGAGTGAATATCGATACATTATTTCAAAGGGGAGAAAGAAAAGAGGCTGGAACGCATCCCTGTTCCTAGGATCCGCCACAGTGAGAGAATGTTTGTCATTGGTTACTCGATACAGAGGCAAACAATACCATACTATAGCAATAGTGTAAGCGTTCCACTAACATTAATGCATTTTAAATCATTATTATGGTTTCACGACTGAACGTGTTCATGAAATATGTTTCAAACAAAAGCGCAAATGTCAATTGTGGACGGACTCATTTGGTTTGTTACTACTAACGTCTTTGCGTATTGCAGAGTTATCTTCTCTTGGGAGCAGGTATTGATTGTTACGTCACTTGTTTGTAACGACGTTATTTTCTCGCACAAACCAATGACGTAACAATCAATACCTGTTCCCAAGAGAAGATAACTCTGCAATACGCAAAACAACATAACGTTGATAAGTAAATAGGTTAAAGTAATCATTTGTGTGACTTTGAATGGCATACATAATGCAACATTCAACGTAATAACATCCTTTCAGTAGATAAGAAACACTGCTTGTAACATAATGGAGCCAACAATCAGCGAAATCCTGCACCTACCTTACAAATGTATAAGTGACAGCTATATAACACTCACACACAATCTTATCTCTACCTAACATTGAAATGATAAATAGCAGTAACAACGAGCATGCGCATTTAGTCTAACAGCTGCTCACTCATTCACACGCATATAACTAAATTCATTTATCTATTTCTCTTTCTTTCCTTCCGGATTTGCAAGGTGTTGTGCACCTGTCTCGTCCTGTTCACCAGTGACCTTGACATTGTTTACTTCCGGTGTAGGCTCGTCGTCAGAGACATCAGGTTCCTCGTCTAAGTCACATAAGCGTAAGCTTTTATTCCACAGTTGTCGACCTTTAGCTTTATCTTTTACAAAATCTTTCGTTTTCAGTGGTTTACAGTTCTCAAACATTTTTCCGGATTGGTCTCTAATGCCTTCCGCCACTGCGCAATAGACAATTGTCTGACATCCTTCCTCTGGGGTCTTGAACAGAAACCTCGCAGCTGCCCGCAACACCTCTCCGAAAACTCCAGGCCAGTTCCTCAGTAGTTCCGTGTGGACACAGCCTGAATAAGACATTGACACAAATCATAATAACTCTGTTCTCTTGATATGACGTTATATTACGTCGCATTATCCGTATCCTTTATGTAAATTATAAAACTGTCAAATACCATGCTCTCGCACAACCCTCCTCGATACTCCAGGGTCAACACTCATTTTCACACTCTGCACCCCCGGAATATGTCATAGCTAAATTGAAGGCACGCGGCAAGCTATTTGATTTGTCTGGAGTAAAAATAAACCTGATCAATCGCTAGGCTTACATCTGTCCTTTGAGGATTACAAAGGAGCGGCGCCTGACTTCAAGGCTAGTCAAATTTACCGTTATGCGACCGCAAGATTCTTTTAATGTACATCCTTGTTTTTTGTCTCGTCCTCATGATGGCGAACACTGAGCCTTTGCTTTTTCCCTGACATACTCCAGGGATGCAGAAAGCGAAAGAGGTAAACGTAATCCATGGAGTATTGAGGATGTTCCACAACAGAATTTTGAAAACTAATTATTTTTATGATTTATTATTTTGGATTGGTGCATGCACTACCATCGTACTTCAGAAACATGGACACTATACAATGTTTAGTTGTACGCATGCACTTATTAATGTTACATGCATGCTATATCGCTAGTGCAATGTTATTATACAATATATAAATGTGACCTAGACATTTCTTTATATACTGTTGTTTTCCATTAAGACTTTATTTCCAAACCTTATCGTTATTTTCGACAAACAAAAGGTGTACTAGAAAAAAAGGACTTTGATTAAGTTTACCGTTTCATACCAGCCAGGTCGGTGTCAGCAATATAGCACGTTAGCTTATACACCCCTAAAGTCAACTTTGTAACTTTACCAAGTAAAAGACTGGGCAAAGTCCAGTTTAAATGTGTATGGGTTGATGAGTTAAAGTGCCCCTTAGTGATCCCATCGTCTGTGGACACCGTCTTAATTTTAAATAAACCAAAGATAACATTTGTGTTTGTGCTTGTGTGCGTGTGTGTGTATTGGGATTTATATCCAAGTTGATATGCAGTGCACAATCTCAGTGTCAAGTATGTAAATACAATCATACTTCTCTTTTGAGATTATACTGTGATAATTTGATTTTTGCTATTGATATCAAACTGGTTATCAAAAATCCTTACATGAGCACGTTATTAAACAATAATCTTCCCGACGAATCTTCCACGATGCCCCTAGTTTTTCCTCGGCTTTATCATTTCATTAGGGTTGTAAAGTGTTACCTAACTGCATGCATTACAATTATGGAGTTAATTATTACATGTGTTCTCCGACACTGTACAGACTTTTCGAAAACTTGGGGAATGTCGCTGTTCTTAAACAAGATATATTGTGCAATTGGTAATAAATTGAATTAAAAGAATATTAACTTGCAATTGGTCATTACAGGGATGTCAGACCCTTGTCAAAACAAGGTACAAACAATCTTTATCATACCTGGGTGCACAGCGTAGGCGAGCACAACGTCAGGAAACCAGCACCTATGCGCCTCCACTGTGAACCGTGCTATTGCCAGTTTACTGCGCGCGTATGCGCCATAAATGTCGTAGTTCTTCATCGCCAGGTCTTCGAACTCGAGCTTGCCCTTTGCATAGGAGTCCGAACATACATTGACGATACGACTTGGGGCGCATTTCTTTAGTCTGTCCTTCAGCAGGTAGGTAAGGTAGAAATGGCCCAAATAGTTTACCCCGAAACTCCTTTCGTACCCGTCCTCTGTCGTGGCCCGAGGCCCCAAGTAAGCTGTGGACAAATGTCAATGTATATCAATGGGTTTTCTTACGACAGCAACAAGGATATAGTGTTTATGATTATTTCCCCAATGACCACTAAATGGTTCCTCACTCCTCCGCAGCGGCTTTTTCATTGGTTAAGAATAGCACTGTGACGCAGTGTAACTTAACGATGCAGAGTTGCACAGTGACGTATTTTGTCAAAGCAATTTCAATTCGGTTGCTGATTGATACAACGGATTTTTAACAAGAAAAATGGCTCTATCGTATGTGTTCATGTTAAAGGGGCAGTAGTTATTCTTCGCCGTGATGTTCGGTTATTATTGCATATGTTATTCAACTTTTTTTATGTAATTTCAATTATTTTTCTTCATTATTTAAAAAAAAAATAGGGTTCAGTTGAATCGCATTGTTCAATTAATTTACTCAATGTTGCGTTGCATTTATTGAAGTCAATAATGTGTATGGTTTCTAAGAGACTCACCCGCGTTATTAATTAGAACGTCCAGTTTTGGTTCATTCTTCTGAAAATCCTGTACAAAGTCCTTCACGGTGCGCAAAGATCCAAGATCAATGTAGTATGCGTACACGTTATCGTTATGTGTCTTCATGCGTATTGCCCTGGCTACTGCTTCTGCCTTCTTCATGTTCCGACAGGCAAGGATGACCTTGGCGCCCCTCTTGGCAAGGTCGTACGCTGTAGACTTGCCTAGTCCCCCAGATGCTCCTGAAACAACGAATACAATATGATATTAAGATGGTGTATTTTACGTTTTACCTACCTTCTGATAAATATCGGAAATGGAGGGCAAACATTCCCCAAACAATCAAGGAAACCAAGCAAATGCTTTGGCGAAAAAACGAAACAAAAGAATTTTCAAACGCAAGTTATTACAGTGTGAGACATAGTCATAGACAAAAATATGTATAAAGAAAGCTACGTTCCTATGTATCTAAAGATCTCGAAATTCGAAGGGAAATTTCCTAGGTCCAAATACCAAATAACAAACGCAAACGCGCAGCAAAATATTGGTCGTCATGACAATTTACAAAGTTAAAAAATATTAAGTTTAAACTAAAAGGCATGAATCTACCGATTTCACTCATCACATTACATAACCTGGTGACATGTATTATCGACTTATCAACAAACGCCTTCCTGAAAGATCCTTGTTACAATGCAGTTCTGTTGGATATAATCTTATATCATGGGTAAAGGAGGTAATTTTAATCTCTAAAGTTGTAATAGATACCACATATCATTCCTGGAATGAAAGATAAACACCAGACACGTTTGATTCGGCAACATCTTATGCAATAATGTGGTAACACTGGTATCGACGCGAACAACACCAACTACGAAATTTCTCATAATACACATTTCCCATACACATTCGTGACTTCTTTATTCACGTTAAAATGTGCTCATAAATAAACATGTAATTTTAAGTACCCTTTTATCGCGGTACCAGATCAGTTTACCACGCGGATTGTTTTTGTTTTAATTTTGGTTATTTTATCTTCTTTTAATTTCGTCGAGAAGAGTATGTATGATTGCCAAGGGAAAATCGAATTTAATTAATGGTAAAACTGTCGCTTACATTTGTAAGAATTTGTCTTAAAGCCACATAAACAATGGCGTGGTTCTTTGTGTGCTTAAAAAGTAAATGTGCTCCGTGACCTTTGTTAGCTTTTTAAACGTTAAGTAAGTTTAAGGTCTTTCTTTATAGTAACAATGTTACGTTTTTAATTCGACAGCAAACAGGTTCAAAGAAAGTGTTTTTAGAATGTCAAAAACGCCATGTTGTAATTCAAAGTGGTATAGGTAGATTGTTATAAGTAATAAGAATAAACCTGTAGGACGAGTGTCTTTATATTAAGGGATTGTATTAGACAGGTTTTATTGTAGTTCGTTTGATTTCACTTGTGGCCCCGACTTGTGTTAATGTGCCGTAAGGAAATACAAGCAAACAAACCAACGACTACTGTCTGTGATAAACATTGGAGTTATGAAATTGTTTTGGTACGATTGTACCGTAGTTGTAAAAAATATCTTAACTTGTACAAATGAGAAACTCATTATCATTTCGTCTGCCAATTCTACACCCCTTTCCCGTTCTCGAGCACTTTTGCTTTCCTTCTTACCTGTATCAACCTAACAGTATGAAACAGACCGTGACGAACGCTTATCTAACGCTGATGGCTAGGATAATTTCACTTGTACATGTTACACCTAATACTTAAGTTCCCGTTGTATACAATATTACTATACATCATCTCTGTAACAGAGTGTCTCATTGGATAATGATCGCGTCTGTCTCGCTCGCTCGAGTTTCCCAGCGTTTAGCACTCGTGAAACAAGACTAATCTCGGAGAAACAGAGAATCGTGTTTCTCTACAACAAGTGTACATGGCATATCGTGCCATGCATACGACATTGTCTGCAAAACATCACTCCTCTATGGTGTCATAGTTCTGCCCATCCTCGATTCTCCAGGAGTTTTGCTCACTCACATTCTCTGAATCCCTGGTATATGTCATTGCAAAATCGAAGGCTCAGTCTGCGCCACCTTGTGGATGAGACAGGAAGACTAGTTAGATCCTTTGATGTACATCAATAGATTATCGCGGTAGCGTAACGGTAAAATTGACTGTCTTTGAAGCCCGTTGTCAGTACGAGCCTAGCGGTTGGTCAGGGTTTGTTTTGTTTTACCACAGACCAATCAAATTGCTAGCAGCGTACATTCAATTTTACTATTACAAATTCCTATTGTGCAGCGAGCGCAAGGGAGAATAAATCCCGGGAGCATCGATGATGATGATTTCACCAACTCACGAGTTACTAGTGACGTATGTTGACATACTTCTTAAAAGGGTCGACACAATCTATGGATATTACGCAATATTATTAGAATTATGTCGGTATACAGTGACAGTATTTTAAGTTTTTCATGTAACGTTATTTTCCCACTTGGTTCTTTATTAGTTATTTGTATCTCTATAGATTTTCCAGAGATTTTCGTCCTAGACTGATGAAATTCAGTACAGAATTAGACAATCATCCAGCACTTCTGTTGACAATATATATATATATATATTATTCATGTGTCTTAGAAATTTAACCATGGTAAGTTAATTGGAGGAAAAAATCAACAAAATTTTAACATTGTAATTTCCTAAGATTCGTTAATACTTTTGCTGCCCTTCTGTTGGTATAAAATATCAAGTTGATTAGACATCCTTTATTTCCACATTCTTACGAATACAAATATGACAGGGGTATAAATGTCTAGTTAAAAGTGTAAATCCCTTGTTCAAAGAGTAAATATCTTGTTAAAAGTGTAAATCCCTTGTTAAAAGTATAAATCCCTTGTTAAAAGTGTAAATCCCTTGTTAAAAGTATAAATCCCTTGTTAAAAGTATAATTCACCAGTTAAAAGTGTACATCCCTTGTTAAAAGTGTAAATCCCTTGTTAAATGCATAAATCACCAGTTAAAAGTGTAAATCACCAGTTAAAAGTATAAATCACCAGTTAAAAGTGTAAATGCCTTGTTAAAAATCATAAATCACAAGTTAAAAGAGTAAATCAACAGTTAAAAGTGTAAATCACCAGTTAAAAGTGTAAATCACCAGTTAAAAGTGTGAATTCCTGATTAAACCTAAACACTACACTTCTGCTACTGTGGAAGTAACTTGTCGTAATAATAGATCCCAAGAGCTAATGTTCCTTGTTTACCTGTATGTGACGTTAAATAAAGTTTCTTGTATCTTGTATCTTGTAACTATACTACACACAGGCCATTATAGCACTGAGACTTTTACTTACGTGTTCTGTGCTTAAATAAGTTATTTTATTCTTACTCAGTTTTAATTTTGTGTTTTGACCTACTTTAACGTAAACAGAAATCAATGACCGCGACGTACAGCGACACACCATACAGACAACAGTCTTAATACGTGTCTCGTATTTACGGTCCAATAAGCCCCAAAAGATTGTATAGTCATCCTATATTTCAAGCCCATGGAAATTATCCAAAGAACTAGAACAATCATCGATATTCAGATATGTTATTTGGGTATATATTGAACTTGAACTTTAGTTATTAGGATTGAATCATACAATGATAAGGCATTAAGGCTGATGTCTTCATAAAGATAGTTCATCGGCATTACAACATGTCAATATCTTTCGTGACCCAGCTGAATGTTATGTAACATACATTTCAAATATTCTCTTTACTAGCTGTAGATAGCGGTTCTGGCCTCAAATCCAGATAGATGTTGCCATGCAAAACCACATAAATCCTATTAAACGAAGGCTAGATGACCTACATTATTAAATCAACTTGTTATGGGGCTATTTCATAACATTCTGTGAACATGTTAATGCGCTAGACATGTTAGTTACATTGTAAATGAAAACGTGTGATAATGTATTACATAACTAGCATTCCATAACAACACTCAATGTTACGAAAGGAAACTTCATATAAAGTATATCTACTCATTAGTCACAAGGCTCTGGGTTTTACATTGATATACCGATAACATATGTTGTCGGGGGATTTAACTGTGACTTTTGTGGTTTTATATATGCACAACTATGTTAATTTGGAGCCGAAACGCCACTCAACAGCTGAAAAAACATGTCCTAGATGAACATAATAGTTAGATAATGTCACGTTTTACCATTCAGTTTGGTCGCAAGCAAAATAGTTTGACATGTTCGTTCATGTCGGTAAACTATTAAATTACATTGTAAGACATCAGCCTTAAAGCCTTATAACATACTTATACATCGTTACTTACGTGATTTCTTACGGTAAATGGTACCAGCAAGTTCAGCTATATTACTATCATTGTTACTATTGTAAAATATGTTTAAGTTCTTTTCAATAAAAGTATTCCATACAAATCACATGTTCCTGTGTATTTTACAGTGTTCGAAAGTTGAAAGTGTGAATTAAAACAAAAATTAATAACTGCATGGTTCGAACTCAGAACCTTTACGTTACAAAGCCCACACTCTACTAGTGTTGCAAAGCCAGAATTGTACATGCACAGCATCATAATCAGTGTCCGATTATTAGGCTGCAAGACAATGCAAAAATTAATTAACGTTATTTGACAGGGGAAATTCACTGAAAAAATTTTTTAGTTGTTTTATCTTCTAAACTTGGTAGACAGGTTAGACTGTGGGAGATATAAGATGTAGGTTTAATGATATACGCTCTAGTTGAAACACCACACGTTATCCAGATATATCAAATTCCACTTCAAGTTAAAAACAGAAACCAGCCATGTGTAAACGTTGAAATGTTAGCCAAGTGCGTGGTGTCATTTTAAATGTTGGTTACGTAAGAAAGAACGTATGGTAGCATATTTCTGCCATAGACTCAAAAATTACGAGTAACGCAGGTCAACATAATTTGAAAACGTTGCCGACATAATCTATAGACATGTTGCAATTATGTTCAAATTATGGTTTGTTTGACAATACCTGTTTATACAAAAAAGAGCAAATAGAGTCAACTTACAGTTTTTCAAAAATTTTAATGGGATATACAATTCATTTATAATCATTAAGTTTACTTACCATTAAGCCTCGTTTGAGGTTTCGTGTATTGGCAATGTTAGAAAGTATTCCGTCTTTTCATATTGCAGAGTTATCTGCACTTGTGAGCAGGTATTGATTGTTACGTCACTTGTTTGTGAGAGTAACGTCATCAATTTTTGAGAAAACGGCGTAATTTTCTCACACGAACCAATGACGTAACAATCAATACCTGCTCACAAGAGAAGATAACTCTGCAATACGCAAAGACGGAATTTACCAAGTGGCAATCTGATGTCACACCCGAGCACTAACACCCTAAAAACGCGGTTACTATATCTCCGAAAAGTGCGGTGATATGACAACACAATTGTTAAATAAAGTCGACATAATCTGTGAACATTTCATCTCTAAACCGATGGAATGGCATGTTCATAAAATCATCCACGTGTTTATTAAAAAAAAAAAAGAAAAAAAAGAAAAGAACTAAAAAGGTGTAAAGACATATTGCATATGACATGAATGTATTACTCATAATTAAGCAATGTTAATAAATAAAGTAAATGTATTACAAGTAACGAAATAATAAGTGTATATCTAACGGTAAAATTGTCATAGAAAGAAATATCTAAGCATATGACATGAATGTATTACTCAAAATTAAGCAATGTTAATAAATAAAGTAAATGAACTACAAGTAACGAAATAATAAGTGTATATCTAAAGGTAAAAATGTCATAAATAGAAATATTTTCTTGATAATTTACATTTTGTCTGTACTGCAAAAGTAAACTTTGACTTGTCTGTTACATCCTCGCATAAGCTTATGGTATGATTGATGATGACGTCATACAATGATGAGAACACCTATTTTGATGATGTCATACCTAAGGTGAGAAAACTTGTATCTGTATTAATGACGTCACACCGTTGAGAAAGTTACTGTGGTAGTTACGTCACAACTTAGGAGTATTAATATTAATGATGTCACACCTGCGGTGCGCATTCCTCTTATTAGGATATCACACATTTGGTGATGACTCTGTCTTCTTGACGTAATACTATTGGTGAGAGTATCTGATATGGTGATATAACACCTGAAACTATCTGTAACAATGACGTCACACCTGTGAAAAGAACCTGCTATAATGATTTTGATTTTTACCTGTGATAATAAAGTCGCACCTGGGGTGTAAACTACCTGTAGTAATAACGTTACATCTGTGTTGAAAATACCTGTAGCAATGAAGTCACACCTGTTGTGTAAATATTTGTAGCAATGACGTCATACCTGTGGTAATGACATCACATGTGGTGAGAACACATGTTACTCACGGAATCATCGTACCTGTAATGATGACGGTTTTACCGTTGAGCAGGCGCGAGCTTTGACACGGGACGGTCCAGCGCAGGTAACGCCTCCAGAAAAAGACAATCAAGAGGATGGCAGAGATGACCACGGGGATCAGGAGAAAGGTGGAATAACTCTGAATCACCTGCTTCATTTCCAGTCGGATCTGTCGCCATAGTTCCTTAGATTTAGTCATATTCCTTAAACCCTGAGAGGGTTCCATACTGTATCTTCTCGGTTTGAACCAGCAGACACACGAAGTTAAAAATCTCTCATATTGTTTAAAGACTTTATCGAAATTGTGGGGTCACTCTGTTGCTACTTGTGTGTTGTCCGTGAGTAAATTGGCACTGGTGAGAAGCAGCGTCTGTATCAATCGTGTTACGGTGATGGGTATGCGGTCTGCTACACCGATCTCCTGTTCCCCCTCCTATAGCCCAGGTTGTATAATGTTGCTCCACACAACGGCAGACCGACACGGCCCGCGTGGCTGTCTCTTATCTTTATTACAAGTAAATTGAACCCCTTTCCTGTTGCTCCGGTGTATCGCAGAATAAGCTACAAACAGCAGGTACCTCTGAAACACAGCCTCTCACACGCTACTAGCAGCAAAATACAAACGAGTAATAGTTGATCCAACGTTAAACACAGAATTTTGATATAATTTCAATTTATGTTACTCTAACCATCCATAAATGTATGGATACAATATAAGTGATATATGTTTTTTGAATAAGACACTATGTAATAATTATTCAAAAAGAACATATCGTAATTACCTATAGCAGGGATTCTATATGCTAAAAATACATATATAGTTGGCAATTCAGGCTAGCATAAACATTTGGTATTTTATTTAATGAATCATAAAAGAGGCTAAATCGTTTCTTCTACGTCATGCATATGTTATTGTCATCTGACATTATACTTTGAGAACTTTATCGGGTTTAGATAGGTCCCAGAGGCGAGCTGCGACTGTAAGCCTCAACAGCGAACGCGCTTTTCACCTCTACCGTAAATACACGCGCATTGGCACGGCTTACCCTTTCTATCGCGCACTTTTAAAAAATTCACAGTATCAGCCGCATTGTCTGTGAAGAGCGCGTGTTTTTCTCATCAGGAGTTCGGAGGTTATCATACGTTCCGACGCCGCCATCTTACGTATAGCTACTCACAACAATACGGTCATACAAACAGTAGTTCTGGCAGCGTCTAAATGTCAAGAAACAAAACGAAAATATATAAAAGCAATATTAACGGAACAGTCTTCAAATTGATTGTTATGAAGTGATAACTCCAGATATCACGAGTTATAATTAATTGAATATTAAAAATCTTATTAAAGGAACATTCTTCCATTTTGGTCAGGTTATGAGGTGAGAACTCTCGCTGAGCACGTGTTAATTGAATAGATAGCGAAAATGGTTATTGAGTGAATGTAACTTCTGTATGCAGACTATCCATTGTTCATTGATACAGATTTCTTTGAATTTTTGCGTTAGAAGCTTGCAATTTTTTTTTAAAAAACTTTATTTTAATTAAAAATCAATAAACTGAACTTTTCAAACTTTAATCTCAACCAATCTGGTAGCAACAACAGACAATATGTATTTACGAGAGTTGGAAACGGACTGCCAATGATATAATTTATCCTAAAAAATGTCCATTACTATGTTCAACACATGGGCCCGTATTCATGAAACCATTCTCACGCTCAAGCATAGATTCTGTGCTCAAACCGACTTTCTTGTAACTCACTTAAATCATGTCAAACGAACAGTATTTGGCTTAAAGCATCTTCAAGCTTTTTCCAAATCATTGACAAAATAAGATTGCATTATTAATTTATCAACGAAACAAACCCTATAGGCTGGAGCACAAAATCCATGCTTGAGCATGAGAACGGTTTCATGAATACGGGCCCAGTTCTTGGATAAGGCCCGGTAAAAAGATTTAAGCTAGAGGCACAGTAACGTTTGTTGAAATGCATGATAAGAACTTTGAAGATAAGTAAGAGGTTATTTTATGTTCATCGTTAAACCTGACGCTGGTTTAAAAGAGTACGCCATCAAGCCATAAGATATTTTGCATGATGAGACATTTTTTTCATAATTTTTGTAACTTTCAACAATTTTTTCTTCTCATCTGTGGGTTTATTCTCACACATTGTTGCGAATTTGGAGCAAGCACAGCCCGAATGATAAATTAATATTCATGTTTCAACAGTTTTGGTTACACAGGTATAAACAACGCGTAAATAGTTCAAGTTCTTATCTACATATAAAAGGGTTTCTTGTTTGAGTAATTTATAGTGTTGTGACAAAATTTTAATTTTAATATAATATTAAATATTTAAGTATGCGGGATTTAAGCGGTTATTAACTGTTGATGTGTCTGTTTAAAGCCAAATAACCATGATATTGGCAACAAAGAGTTACGCCAAGACGAAGTTAGGCGAGAATAAAAAGATATATTATCTATAAAACAATTTTCCTATTAATGGCCGATGAGTTTATATTCTTACGAAGAGTATTTAGTATACTTTGTTGCACTCTGGGGAAATCACAGGGACCTGAGAATTTGTTACAGCTATATTTGAACCTAAACTAAGGTGTTCTGAGTAATTTTACATGTTTTAGGGGTTTAGATCGACTTTCGGTAAAAAAAATACACCCCCAATGAATATGATCATATTGGGGTGTCATTTTTACCGAAAGTCGATCTGGTCACTGTGGCGGAAATAATCTGAGATACAAGTTTGATATGGTTAAGCTCGTCTCCTCGATTCACACTATAAACTTCAAACATGTCTTACGGGTTTTTTTAACACATAACTGACCAACCCATTTTATCATACGGCCATGTCATAAATACGGTACCACACACGTGTAATACAACCTGAAGGCGTTACGATGAGTCCAAATTGTAAACTTTATTAACTGTATTTTTGTCTGGTGAATTCTAATGTTTGTGCCATTAATTAAATGAATTTTAAATGTATATTTTGTCATTATTTTTTCATTTCATTTAAAACTGGTCATTATTAAAAATAAATGGAACCGCTTGGCACTGCGCGAAAAGACAATACTATGATAATACTAGTACATGTACTTTGGTTTGCGTCAGCTGATAACACATAATTTTGTTTAAAAAAAAAACTCTTAAAATTATGCATGCTCGTGCAATAGACACGGACACTCATGTAAGGTCGTCTGTATACCATCGTCGAGGTCAAGATTTTAGACGTATACATATTTTAGTAGGAAAGGGGGACTTTTTCCAGTCCTCGCTATTTTATTATCGATTGCTACATTTTTAGCAAAGATCTGTTTACCTTAATGTACCTCTCCCGGAGTAACGCAGGGTGCACGTGCCTAACTCCTTGATTTCGAGGATGTTTGATAACTTTTATTGCAACTTGCTTCGTAACTTCTTCTAACCAATATACGATAAAGATATGCCTATAGTTACCACTTGCATCCTGTAATGTATCCAAGTCAATGCACGGAAAAATGGCGTGTTTAGCTCTTATAGTGTTATTTCATGTCGTCCAAGCAGTTACACATATACAGCATGTAGTTCAATATGTTTGTCATTATTATTTGCTAGGTACATGATGCAATTCTTAAATACCAAGTGTTCCACAATACATCAGACTGAGACTCTAATAAGTTGACATGCCATAGCAAAATTAAGTATTGGAGTCCTTAGTCCGAATTATTCTGACGTTTTATCGACTGTTTTCATATCGGTATGTCGTCGATTAACCGACGACAAACCGATATGAAAAAAGTCGATAAAACGTCAGAATAATTCGGACTATGGAGTCCTCGATTCAATTTTACCCTTATGTACTATGCTGTTCAACAGGAAGATCAAACTGTGAAGCTTACGGGGGAATGTTTGCATTGTAACTTGACTTAACCCTGCCTTGACAGGACATAATGTCGGTGGTGTGGTAAACTGTCGCTCCCGATACGCATTTAATTAGAACCTTGGAATGTGTCATTACAAAATCAAAAACAAGCGGTTACCCATTTGATTGGTTCCAGGGATAACAAAACCCGCTACCGATCGCTAAGCTGAAACATGTTCTTTAAAAAGCAACATCCGGTTCAAATCATGGCCTATTTTTGATGTACATTAAAGGATCGAACTGTTGTATCTTTGAGCAAGATACTTTACTCCGCTTGTTCCAGTCTCCTCAGCTGTAAATGAGTACGTGGTTTTGCAGTGCTAGAATTGTAGAATGCTAGCTGTGAGCGCCGAAATGGCAGCAATGGCTGTATGCTCCCCATGGAGTTGAAAAAGTTATTGGCTGGTTTCAAAGACCCTATAACCACAGATAATAATTTGTGAACCGCTTTGAGACGACCTACAAACTAGGTTGTGCTAAAGCGGTATGTAAGAACCTCGAATTATTATTATTATTATTATTATTATGATATGTATCATCTTCAAAATTGGGCGTAAAGAGTCTTCAAATATGTCAAGAGTTTCTGACTAAAAATAAGCGGACGAGACCTACGATGAATTCTCAAAAATGTATTGGTACCAATGATTTCCTAAGAAATAATCACCGTATGTGCGTGTATAATGGTGAAACGTGTCATCGGGGTGATAAATATCGGGGGAAAAGTTAAGGAAGGCTGTTTGCGGCCTGAGTTGGTTATTTCTCCAACATTTTCGAATCCCGAGTTATATATTCCACCATTATGTACAAACATACGTTGATTATATCTATTCTACTAAATAAATGGTAACGGAAGTCTTTTTCGTGTCTACATCAGTGGCAAACGCCTATGTTAAGCAATGCGCCAGGAAAACTTCAAAAACATACAACCTTAAATTCGGGTACCCTCGTTACACAAATGAAACCAGTCCCACGACTCGCTTGTTTACCAAGTACATTTGCAGGGTAGGTTTTCGGAAGATTGTTGATCGGTTGAAAAATAAGACACGCACGCTCATAGTCTGTGGTCCAAAAATAACCAATGAAAAGTGTCGTTACATCGCAAACGTGGTAGAAGTAAAGTAGGCTACGATACGATAGAAGACTGTTCTAGAGACAAACAGTGTGATGACAATGAAAGCAATGAAAAGGAATAAAAAAGAAGTGTATATGTTTGAAAAGGTTTATGGATACGAGAATTTAAGAAATAAGAATCTCTGTGAGGACAAGGACTTTTTTGTTTAAAATTTATTATAGACATTTCATTCATAGAAATCAGAATGTTTGCTTGTTTTCTCCCGCCCTTATCTCAACATCATTTTATCATGATCAAGGAACTGGTTGTTTGTGACAATGTGCCCCTATTTTATCTAGGATTGTCAATTGGATTTTTCCTTAAAATCTTTGAATGCATCACAAATATTATTTAACTTACTGAAATTAAAAGAAAATATATTATCCTTTTCCTTTGACGTATTTGAATCTCCCGTTTTTGACTGTTAGTTCACATGTGAATAAAACAGATATAGATGAATTTTACAATGAAAAGTTAACCCATTATTCTTCTTGTGGTTAGCTTTTGTCCATTAGATCTGGTGAGGATATTTTCCGTAGCGTATCTTAATCTGGCTAGTTTTGAGTTTTGCTGTTCCTTTTGGAGTTATCGAGCTATCGATCTTCGGGCTAATATTGTATTTATCTCGCTTTGTGTTTGTTGTTAATCACCCTCGTTTCTTGGGGGAAGGAAGTGCAAACAGATTCAAAACATTTTTGTTTTGTTTTTGTAGATTTACTATAAATATCTTACCTTAATTTACTCCATCACTGCGCGTCTCGGTCGGCGAAACTTAGCCAACTAAATTATGCTCAGTCTTTAATTTATTTACTTTGCCGATCAAACTGAAATGGAATCAGAGTTCATCTAAATACTGCCCATCGATCTATTCCGTCTTTGCGTATTGCAGAGTTATCTTCTCTTGGAAGCAGGGATTGATTGTTACATCATTGGTTTGTGCGAGAAAATTGCGTCGTTTTTCTCAAAATTGATGACGTTACTCTCACAAATAAGTGACGTAACAATCAATACCTGCTCCCAAGAGAAGATAACTCTGCAATACGCAAAGACGGAATAAGTTTGTATTGTTTTCTGATCGTTTTTTAAGCGTTGTTGCTTCTTGAACCACTTACCATCTTCATGAGATTTTTAAAGGAAAATATTACAAATTTTATTATAATTAACATAGCCATTTCTTCGCAAAGCTTTTGACCAAGACCCATTAGCTACGGTATTGAGAGAAACATATTAAATTGGACAGGCAATTTTCTAGATTATCTCAATGAAAGAGTTCCCCAGGGTAGGTCCTACATTTTTTCTCACTATCCAATAAACGTCAACGATGACGTCAAAAAAATGCGGTATGCGTACAGCAAGGTCAGGGCACAGAGACAGATGTAGCACCGGAACAGGTCTTCAGGCGATACTACCAAAATGTTCTCAGTTGAACCTAAGCATGTTAAAGGTGGTGGAAACCAAGAACACATACTTAATATACAAACAGACATCACCAATGTAGTGAGTTGGACTAACTGGAAGATTAGCTAGCATTTATGATGGCTTATATATGACATTTCATATTATCGCCTTGTCATCCGCGAAAAGGCCAACCGAAAAAAACCCCCGAAATAATGAAAAAACGAAAACCCACCATAACGAAATAACGCCAAAGCGCAAAAGCTGGATAACGAAAACCCGCCAATTCCAAATAACAAAATAACGCCAAACCGAAGTGATAATAACGCCAAAGCTTAGAAATTAAATAGCGTCGTCTTATATTCTTTCTTCTTTTGGCGTTATTCCGTTATTTTGCTTTGGTGGGTTTTCGTCTTTTTTTTTTTTGTCGCTTGACGTCTTTTCGCGGGCGACATGGCGAAAAGACGAAATGTCATATAATTATAAGCCTACATTACCAATAGAAAACACACAGTGTCGCGCAACGAACATGTCATAACCACGAACGACCGACCTTATTCTGATAAACTCAGGAAGATAGACTTCAAACTTTGGCAAAGAAGATGAAAAAATTGCAGATTGATATGGTCGAAACCTTCAAAATATTGTAAGGTCTTGATAATTTAGTCAAAGAGAAATTATTCCAACAAGAAAATTATTTAGTTGGTTACCATAGAAAACCTAAAAACTGAAAATCATGTTGCATGATCCTTCCATCACCTATAATATAGCCTATACGTCAAAACTATAGTTCAATGAAAAAATGAACTACAGTTTTGATATCAAAACATTGATATATCTTCCAAAAACAAACTTTTTTTTCTCAATGAAAACGTACGGTAAGTTTTTCATATAGTGTACATGAACATGCCAATATACTCGAATAATCATTGTCACTTTTTCTGATACAAAAAGCTTTGCATTTTTTTCAGTTTAGGTAAAATTCATATAAATTAAAAATTTCAACAGATACTTGACCTGTATTTGTCTAATAAAACTGTACTCATTGTCGTGGGAAGTTTTTTTATAGCTTACACGATAAAACTGAAGTATAACATTGTTGTACAATGGGTAAATCTAAAGCGAATACCGAGTGAATTTAATTTTGCTGACGTAAAAACAGCGGTTTTGCCGACCAGATGCGTCATAAACACATACGTTGCAAAAGGTTCATAATCGTAGCTTATAACAAAGATACTCTAGGTTCTAGTTTTGTTTCGTGATATTTTGATGGGAACAATGTTATTAGATATTTACAATCTGTCCTTGCATCAGCTGGCTTAGTTTTCAAGGGGAATATCTTCAAATCTTAGGAAATCCAAAGGCATGAATGCATATATAATACGGCCTATACATGTATAATAATGGTTAACGTTATTGTAGATGTTCAAATAAATGTAACTACTATAAATGGATTTTAAAGGATTAATTAGAGAAAGGTTATGAAAGAAAAGGGTTGGATATGTGAGGATAAGGGATCACATCACTTGGAAAATATGTAACGTTACGTATATGTTCTCTTTGGTCACGATTCCACGATTCTGTTTTGGCGCATTATTTTCCCAGATAAAATCGAATTGGTTATGTGAACATTTGAGATAGATGCATATATTTGATATTTGATCACGCAACTGGGTGATCACGTGCCTAATGAATCAGAACCATATAATGATCTATAATATTATACGTCTCTGGTTGAATGTATGGTTGTAGACACATGAGTCTATCAAAACGTAACGGCAGCGGTCGTGTACATTGAACGCACTGGTGGCTGCAGATGGACCAAGAAGATCTGAAAGTCAGCAATATGGAGAGTTATGCTCCAAACTGAATTATTGTTTAAACCACGTGCGACTGATGTAAATGAACTGTGATTTTGATTACTTTCTGGATCTCTAAGAGGGTGCACGTGGTAGAGTAATTACATTTTCCTCGAGATTGATTTGAGTAGACTTTTCCTGTTATGATTTTGTGAAAAAAATATGTAGATCATATATACCATTTAACCACGGAATTTAATAATGGGTCGACATCTTGCATGTCGCTTTGTTTGTCTCTCTCCTCTTTTCGATCACCATTACGTGTGCATTTATTTCCGGGACTCGATCCGCCTCCTATTACAAGGGAAGTAACTCCTATTGTTGGAAATCTTTTTGAAAAGAAGGCGAGTATTTCTTTTCCAAACAAATGGCGGGTAACTGGTGAGGTTGCCTACACCAATATGATGCGACCATAACTGCTTTGATGAACGATGCCAGCTGAAATGGCACTGTCGACTCAGCAAGATGACCATGACAGTCATTATGTCTTACTGGCTAAAATTGACAATGCCAAAAACGTGTCAAATATCCTCAAAGCTATTCATTTCAAGGAGGTAAAATGTGATGTCTACCGTGTCATTGTCTGTCATTCCTAGTTACTCTTTCCGTTGTTGCCGTTTATTTTATCTTTTAAAATCATATTGAATCAAATTAAATATCTAGGTATACAGGTTGATTGCAGCCCACCATGTAGCAGGGACCTCCATGAAAATATTTTAACGCCAGGCGCCCATCTTATGATCTATGAGCGCTCGGTCGCGATCGACGCATAATTTTAACATTTGATCAGAGACGTACAGTATATAATACGTCTCTGATTTGACAATAGAATATACAGTAAAAAGTCAACAATATTCTTTCATACGAATTTAATGGGATATTCACGGACACATGTTTTATTGCCTCTTTATCCACGTCAATAATGTGAAATACATCGCAGCAAAAATGAAATTTTGCCTACTTCATTACTTGCCCGAGTTTCCTATGGCCCTAACATGTACACCAGCCTTGGACATTTTGACATATAGGTGTGTGGTGTGGGGCATTAATAAGTCACTAATAATGACAATATTTTTCCTAGACTGCCACTGTGTTCGCGAGTTCCATGGGGTTAAAGGTGACTGTGGAAGATGCAAAGTGTGTTCAGGCCAACGCCTTTATCCAGGAGGGACTGTTCCACGAGTACAACATCACAGAGGACCAGATCACATTCAAAATCAACCTCACCGTGTTACTTGTGAGTACAATATATTAGGGCTGCAACGATATTTTGTATCGTATTGTATCAGGATACTTTCTTGTGTATCATATCAAATTGTTTTGTTTCCCTATTTCGTGATACACTAACAGTACTAAAATAATCAAACAGTTTTCATCAAACTCTAAAGAAATGTTCTGATATTTTCTTAATCCTTCAGTAAAGATGTGGTCCACTGTGCAGTCATACCCAAAAGTACTAGAAATGATACAAAAATATATTTCTATAGTAAATACTATTCAAGTCTATGACAGAACTCAACAAAGTCAAGCACTTAATCATTATATAGTTGACCTTTAAAGCAGATATTTGTAGCATGCTACGTGTGGTATCATTAGCATTGTACCTCAATACATATAGTATCGTGAAGTATGCGTATCGTTGCAGCTCTTCAATATATATGTGACTGTGGAAACAAACTCACTCAAACAGGTATAGCATCCGTGAGAACAACATCACTGTCAATATTCGTCTAATTTTACTCTGCCTCATATGATTTAGATTAAAAACTGAACAAATCAGTTTTTAATCTAATTGATAAATGTATAACAGTATCGGCTTCTTTAAGAATCTGGCCTCTAATTTTACTAGTGGTTAGGGCAAAATCACATTAAGGCATCCTTGCAAGTACCAATATTTTATAGTGGTGAGGAAACTTCAGAAGTCACTATTTATGCTTCCTTCACCCTTCATAATAAGACAAGAATCCTCCTACTGTAAACATAAGATTTCACTATGAAAGTAAACATTTAAGTATAAGTGAATGCATACAACAGATCATAAGCCTGTCCACTTATAATTGCCACAAGTTGGCATATTACAGTAGTGTTTATATTTTGGTTTGTTAAAACTTTATTTGACGCTATTTTAAAAATTTAACATACTATAATATCGCCATGTTCAAAATATAACACTCTTGTTTATACATAATTTGCCTACTCCAAATGTACTGATTTCATATTTTATTATTTTATTGCTGATTTTTGTCTTCCGTATAATATCTTAGGAATGCCTGACCATATTTGGGACTAGTCAGGTGCCAGGGGTGACCACCACACTGAAGATGTGTTACGGTGGCTACGGTTGCCCACTCATCCTAATGTAAGTGTTTACCCATTCACCCCTAAAGTCACATTTGCACCTTATCAAATCAAAGACTGGGCAAGTCCATTTTAGATATGGATGGGGTGAATGTGTTAATTGATGCGTAAGCAAAGCGCAACAACAGCATGGACAATTTCATATTTTATGATTATTAACCCATTCACCTCCTAAAGTTGCAAATGAACCTTACCAAATCAAAAACTGGGCGAGTCTAGTTTAGATATAAATAATGTAAATGAATAGGTTGGACGTTGACTTATTCAAATGAAGAAAAGCTGAAATACTGAATCAATTATAAAGATATGAAATAGAAATTAATGTTTTGAGGACTTAAACGTAGGACAGAATAGGTTTAATTGTAGCACCACCAACATATTCAAATGATTTCTGGCGACATTTTTTGTTACATTGTATAAATATTGTTGTAACCCTAAATACTGCAGTTGAAATCCTAACCCTATCTGTCAAAGTATACAATAAAACCTGACTTTATTTTCTGCTTCACTTCGTGCTACTGTAACCATTTTTGTTCAAGATCCCTTTTTCTTTTGATGCATGCATTTATTTAATTTAAGTATGTTTCTTATTAATTGATGTATTCCAGGAAACCACTGCTCAAGAGAATTAGTTTTCCCCTTCTGTTGATAAAATCTATTTTTGCCCTGCATTGATTTCATTGTTCAAATAAAAGTATATTTTTTGTAAGCATACAGTAGTCTCCCTTTGATAAGATATTTACACCTTTTAAAAGTGTCAACATTTTGACATTAATGACAATACATTCCAATATAATTTTGATTGTAGAAATAATTTGGCAGTAAACAAGGTTCTGCTGATATCAAAATTCTTGTTTCAGGTTGGAAGAAGACGGGGTGCTGACAGATTGTAGCATTAAAACTTTAGAACCTGATGAAGTTCTAGATTTCAACTTCAGCAGTACAAACGTCCTCAATAAAATGATCATGAAGGTACAGTGTATTGTCATGAATAGTGATATTGTAAAGTATTAATATAGATTAATAACAAGGCATTTGATAGGTCAATCAAAATAATTTGCGACAGTAAAACTACGATATACCGTCCACAAATTTCTCATTTGCACATGTAGCCCGGATGGCGATTGTTTATGACGTCGATGACCACGACTAACCATGACACGTCATGAACTCGATTATTATTGATGTCGCGAACAATAGCGTGACCCAAAAAGGTCAATGTAATTCCACAACTTTGAACATTTCTGACATCACCAATCCGCAGCAGAGACCCAGAATTTGAAGGTAACACTCAAAAATATCTTAAAATCATGGTTTCTTTCGGTGGTTTTGGTTGATTTGAATTAGAATGGGGATAACCCTACTTTATTTTGAAATTTGTTGCGGTATAGTGTGATTATCACAATATACCACCACAAATTTCAAAATACAGTAGAGTTATCCCCTTAATGGAATAGAATTCACAGAAGTTACATGTATATACTTGTTCATTACATTTGTGTGGTACAGAAAACCCTACCAGAATGTCCATACCCTCCAAGAAGTAACATTTATTGACTCTTCCTATTTCATATCTTATGATTAGCTGTTCAATATCTAGAGATGTCACACCAACATGAGTCCTTATTAATGGAGCTGTTCTTATAAGTCTTATGAGCTGAATTGATTGTCAGTGCAAATTTTCAAAATTCAATTATTTAAAGTATCAGAAAAAATTACATTTTGATGTTTCCTGTACTCGGACGATAATTTTGAACCCAAAAGTATTGTGTGTTAGTTTGGAATTCTAATATTTTTGAAAATATATACCAAGCACTAGTTAAAAAGTCCACAATAACTTTTTATATATTATACCTGTATCCACACCTGTAATTTGTCCTTACAGTCGGAGTGCCTGAAGGAAGCATTCAGTGAACTGGACATGACAAGTGACATTCTTCAGATCCTCCTGTCTCCAGATCAACCTTACTTCAGGCTCTCAACCTTCGGCAATGCTGGTAGCACCACAGTAGGTACCTGTTAGAGGTCGCCAGGCCCAACTATCACTGGACTTTTTTAACTCTTAGAACATCAACCTTACTTAAGGCTGTCGGCCTTCAGCAATGCTAGTAGAACCCATATGTAGGTACTAATCAGAGGTCACCTGGCCCTGCTATCACCAGACTTTTGTTATAAACTCTCAGAACATCAACTTAACTTAAGGCTGTCGGCCTTCAGCAATACTAGTAGAACCCATATGTAGGTACTAATCAGAGGTCACCTGGCCCTGCTATCACCAGACTTTTGTTATAAACTCTCAGAACATCAACCTTACTTAAGGCTGTCAGCCTTCGGCAATGCTGGTAGCACCCATGTAGGTAATATCAGAGGTCACCTGGCCCTGCTATCACCAGACTTTTGTTATAAACTCTCAGAACATCAACCTTACTTCAGGCTGTCAAGTTTTGGCAATGCTAGTAGCACCCATATATGTACCCATTCAGGGCTAGCTTTGGGTCTTGATTCAGTTTCGCCAAATTTTAACATGTTCCCAACAAGTGCGTGTGATGGCGAGCAATCATGGACCAGTCCCCCCCCCCCCAAAAAAAAGACACCACCGCTTTAATTTTTTAATTTTCATTTATACATCCCATTATATGCATTCTAATGTATCCTATGTATCTTAGACAGGAAATGAATTATTGAAATGAAGAAAATGTTTTATGTTTTATTACTATAGCAAATCATTTTCACCGAAACCAAAGGCTGATAATTTTGGAATAGGTGGTTATTTATCTCCATACTATCAGTTGATAATTCTTCAACAAAAATTTAGCGGCAACTTAAATATAATTTTCGGCAAATTGTCATCTCGATCAGGTGCAAGAATGACACAATTCAAGTTGTACATGTCATTTTCAGTGCCCTGGCAATTATATATCCGTTACTGCTTAACAAAATTAAAAAGAAAGTCATTAAAAAATATCCCGCCTGCGTCCCAATGTAAACACACACCCGTGCCTCGTTATTGCCCCGCATCACTGAACTGGATTTTCGCCAAGAGCAGTTTCAAATTGCCAATCATGTTTTACTTTCGCCAATGGCGCCAGTGGCGACCGCCAGCACGAGCTCTGCCATTAGAGGTCACCAGGCCCTACTATCACCAGACTTTTTTTAACACTCAGAACATCAACTTTACTTCAGGCTCTCAACCTTTGACAATGCTGGTAGCACCCGTGTATGTGCCCATTGGAAGTCACCTGGCCGCGCTATCACCAGATTTTCAGAATATTCTGAACACATAATTATCAAATTCCACTTTCCTCTGAAATTGAGATAGATTTTCTGACATTCATCCACCGATTGGAGTTAAGAAGTGATTTCTTTAGCATAAATTTATTAATATCTAAAAACCTCAATATACTGTCTCCACACAATTTGTCATTATCATGAGGTTATGTGATATGTCAAGGAATAAAGAAGAATCTTTGAGAAAAGCAAAAAAAGGGGATGCAAAATATATTAGCAGTAAGCTAAGTGGTGAACAAAGTAAGCTAGGGCATTAGTCATTTAGAGGTTAATTTAAAATCAGCATACATATTTAAATGAATAGTGTACATTTCAAATTGTTCTTATAAAAGCATGCAGTTACATTTATGTTTGTGGCAAGAATGCTCAGAAAATTCTCTTTATAGTATATTGTTGCATTGATTCTAATAATGGATGACTTTCTTGTTTTGCAGTCTGATTTTCCTAAAGATTCCGATATGGTTGAGTCCTTTTTGTGTACACAAACACAAACCAACAGGTAAAAAGACCACCTTAAAGATATTTCTACACCTAATATAGAATGTTTTCTTCAAAATTGTCTTTACTTTAATGATATTACTTAATAGAGAATCTTGATGAATTATACATATAAAGTATGAATGGTGAAATAGAGGATTTCAAAAATGTTCTTATTACATAACTTGAATAAAGTTAGTGTTTATACTAAATCTACCGAATGAGAATGATTTAACAATGCTCAACCAAAGCATAAATAAAAAAACCAAATAGCAAACAAATATTGACAGGCAAAATGAAAAGAAAATACCTCAAATTTGTGATGTCATAATTGCTGTTATTAGACTGCATGGTATACGTACATGAAGTCAGAGTTTAAATATACTTTGACAAATGAAATATCGTTTAAAAGGGAGATAACTGCGATGTAGTGTATTCTCTGTTTGCAGGTACAAAATCTCGCTGCTGAAACCCTCTGTGAAGGCCCTGGCCCTATCAACGCGAGTGTCCATTAGGACGGACAACCGTGGCTTCCTCTCTCTCCAATACATGATCAAGAACGATGATGGCCAGGTCTGCTTCGTGGAATATTATGTAAGCACTATCAAAATGATAAAAAAATGTATTCTTAATTATCTTTACATAAATGTCTTGGAAATCATATTTCAAAAATAATCAGTTTGGGAGTTCATTATATGCCTCGATATATATTTGTAGTGTGCTCCTGATGAAGATGTAGATGATCCTGACCAATGACAGCATGGGCTTCAATCCTCATGTCAACATCAAAGCTTCAATTTCTGTTAATAGCGTGGTAATGGAAAGCCTTCAAGTCTACTGATTGCCATGGTGTCAGCAAACTTTCAGTTCCTGTTGTTGCCACTGATGACATTAGGTTTTCACTTCCGATGATTGCCTTATAATTATTGACAACAGTGCTTCAAATCTGAAGATTGCCATTGGGACAAAAATGCTTCAATTCTGGTGATTGCCATAGTGACAGCAGTGCTTCAATTCTTGCGATTGCCATCATGACAGAAATGCTTCAGTTCTGGTCATTACCATGGTGACGACAAAGTTTTGTTCATGGTGCTTGCCACAGCAGTATCCACTAGCCAGGACCTGCCTGACCCGAACCACAAAACAAACAATAGCATTATCCCTTTTTCCCCTTACACAGACTTAATTTCTGAGTTCAAAGATCATGTGACACTATTTCCTGTGATCTGAATATGAAATAACAATATAAAATGTTATATTGATGAAAGTTTAAAAGTAACAGCATAGATTACATAAGCATGGCAATGATGAATGTCCATAAGGCCTTTGTTGTGTAAATAACCTACATAGAAAAATTCAAAAGTAAAACAACAAAGTACACCATCTGACATCCTGTTTGAAATAATTAACATATCTGTCGAATTTGTAGGAATGTAGGAATTACAAGGTCTTAATATGCTGATTTCTATTTTACATAATGTTCAATTGACATAACCAATCTCAGAATATTTGTCTCATATCAGACAGTTTTTATTGTAGCTTGTATAAATTGTTAATTATATCATTATTTTCAGATGAAAACCTGAATTGATATGTGAAATAGTTCTGTCTAGATATAAGTTATATTGAATAAACTGTTGTGTTTGTTATAAAAATGTCTTATGATTTGCGATGCTAAATCAAGAGATCTCCTGTCACGGTAAGGTTAGTTTACACTGACAGAATTTGCTATATATATAACTAAACCTCATCTACATGACAGTGCATCTGATAGGAATTTGTTGATCACATGACTTTTAAAGAAAGATCATGCAACTATCTTGGACAGAAGTATCCCTAGTCATATTTTCCTCATTCAGGTCCTATCTAAGTTTAAAGCTGTAGGACAAGTTTTAAGGCCTTGGAACTGTGCTTATGTGTTAAATGCTATTTTTTACAAGAACTGATGTGAATGTACTCTATAGTGTATAAGCTTGTGTACAACAACCAAGGTATTTTTAGCTCAGTATGTGTACATTTCCCCTGTAAATATTCTATAAGTATTACCTGAAAAGTTTGGCTTTGAACGCAGTTTGATCAGCATCATTTTGACCCTTCTCCTGCCTATAATAACTTGAGAAAATCATTAGAAACAAAAATTGACCTTAGGCTATTCCAGGAATTTCGTTTGCACCAAGTCAACTGACGAAACAAACACTTTACTATTGAAAATGAAGTGATACCTTTACTCAGATAAATAAAAACTAAAAAAAATTGGAATGTTAATATAAGGATTGAAAGTTGATGTGGGTATGAACGCAAATTGGTTAAATACATACATATGTATGTACCCTGAAGCTCTATAGAAAATGTATGTAAGTGATTTTGTGTTCGTACTGACATGATCATTTTCACGTTTATTTGAAGTCAATTGGTTGTATTATTTATATAGACTTCATTATGATACCACTTGTATTCTCAAACCTAGTCCAAGAGATTTAATAAACAAATTAATTTGTTAAATTCTGTACACAAACTCATTAATTTAAAAATAACATTTTACCTACATTTGGTGAAGTGTGATCCCCCATTTGTGCAATACATACAACTGTGCTTGCATCACATTTTTCGTCAATGTTAAAGTATTTTTCAAGGGTATACCTATACATGTATTGTTACCTTCCTGTGGTCTACATCAGTTATTCTCTAGGGAGTACATGTATTGTTACCTTCCTGTGGGTTATATCAGTTATTCTCTAGGGAATACATGTATTGTTCCCTTCCTGTGGGTTATATCAGTTATTCTCAAGGGAATACATGGATTGTTACCTTCCTGTGGTCTACATCAGTTATTCTCAAGGGAATAAATGCATTGTTACCTTCCTGTGATCTACATCAGTTATTCTCTAGGGAATACATGGATTGTTACCTTCCTGTGGTCTACATCAGTTATTCTCTAGGGAATACATGTATTGTTACCTTCCTGTGGTCTACATCAGTTATTCTCAAGGGAATACATGCATTGTTACCTTCCTGTGATCTACATCAGTTATTCTCAATTTCTTTCAAGAAGAGTTTCAGTCAGAAAACCGGGTGAATTATTCGTCATGGACGGTAGTTTTTAGGTCACCTGAGCTTTGCTCAAGTGACGTATTCTAATCGCTTTCCGTCCGTCGGCCGTTGTCCGTTGTGCGTAAACTTTTTACATTTTCAACTTCTCAAGAACCAGTGGATGGATTTTTTTCAAACTTAGTCAGAATCATCCTTGGTAGATGAGGCTACAAAATTGTAAAATTGGGATTCCTACCCCAACCCCTGGGGCCACTGCGGGGCCCCAAAGGGAAAATTAACCAATATTTCAAAAATCTTCTTCTTCAGACTCAGAGGTACTACACTCATTTCCTCTGCATAGAATGAAAGATCATCAGGGGCTTTACTTAAATTGTAAATTTCAGGACCCCTGAGCTATTCGTTCTCCCTTGGAGAGGGGGTTAAGTTTACTATAGTTTATGTAGGGAAATAACACTTTTGGGTATATTTTGACAACTATCTGTAGGAAATTATTTTTACTTGGTGAGAATTATCCTTGGTGAAAGATGGTTTCAAATTGTAAAATTGAGATTCCTATCCCAACCCCTGGGGCCAGGGCGGGGCCCCAAAGGGAAAATTAACCAATATTTCAAAAATCTTCTTCTTCAGACTCAGAGGTACTTCACTTATTAGCCACTTATGCCATACCGTGGCGTCCGTCGTCCGTCCGTCGTCCGTCTGTCCGTCCGTACGTCAACAATTTTTTTAAACGACTTCTTCTTCTTAACCACTGGTTGGAATTAAACTAAATTTGACTGGAAGCATCCCTAGGTGGTGGGGATTCAAAACTGTACAAATAATGGGGCTGACCCCCCAGGGGGCTGAGGGGCGGGGCCAAAAGGGGTCAATTTGCTCATATTGCTTTAAGCGACTTCTTCTCTGGAACTAAGAAGTGGATATCAACCATATTTGACTGGAAGCATCCCTATATGGTGGTGATATAAAATTGTACAAATGGTGGGGCTGACTCCCCAGGGGGCTGAGGGGCGGGGCCAAAAGGGGGCAATTTGGCTATATTGCTACAAACGACTTCTTCTGTAGAACTGTGCACTGGATATCAATCATATTTGATCAAAAGCATTCCTGGGAGGCAGGGATTTAAAATTGTACAAATGGTGTGGCTGACCCCCCAGGGGGCTGAGGGGCAGGGCCAAAAAGGGTATTTGGCTATACTGCTTTAAGTGACTTCTTCTCTGGAACTAAGTGATGGATATCAACCTTATTTGACTGGAAGCATCTCTAGGTGGTGGAGATTCAAAATTGTACAAACGGTTGGGCTGACCCCCCAGGGGGCTGAGGGGCGGGGCCAAAAGGGGGCAATTTGGTTATATTGCTATAAATGACTTCTTCTGCAGAACTATGCCATGGATATTGATCATATTTGGTCGGAAGTATTCATGGGAGGCAGGGATTCAAAATTGTACAAATGGTGGGGCTGACCCCCCGGGCTAAGGGGTGGGGCCAATAAAATGTATTACTTGGAAATGGTTGAGATCCCCACCATATAACCATATATACAATTGCTGAGTATAAAGAGAAGAATGCACATTTGCTTCCAGGATGTCCCTAGGGTCTGGCCCCACCCTTGGAGACATAGTCCCTGGGCCATAACTTTAAAACGGTTGAGATCCCCACCCCAAAACTATATATACAAATGCTGGGCATAAAGAGACGAATGCAATCATGATATCAGAATAGACCCTGGGGTCTGACCGAACCCCTAGGGACCTAGTTTCTTAGTCACAGCTTGGAAACAGTTGAGAGCCCCACCCTATAACCGTATATATACAATTGCTGAGTATAAAGAGATGATTGCACATATGCTTCCAGGTTGGCCTTGGGGACTGCCCCACCCTTGGAGACTTAACCCCTGGGTCATAACTTTGAAATGGTTAATATCCCCACCCCAAAACTATATATACAATTGTTGGGTATAAAGAGACAAATGCAGTCATGATATTAGAATTGATCCCGGGGTCTGCCCCACCCTTGCAGACCTGGCCCCTGGGTCATAACTTTGAAACTGTTGAGATCCCCACCCCAAAACTATATATACAAATGCTTGGCAAAAAGAGACAAATGCAGTCATGATATTAGAATCGATCCTGGGGTCTGCCCACAACTCTAGGGACCTTGTTTCTGAGTCAAAGTTTGGAAACAGTTGAGATCCCCACCCCATAACCATACACAAAATTGCTGGGCATGAAAAATCTAATATAGCTTTGCTACAAGGATTGGCCTTGGGGTCTGGCATATTCCCTTGATCTCATTTGGAGAATAGTTTGCCATGATTGCTTAGGTATCCAGGTGTTTTCTCTGCATCGAAAGAAAGATCATCAGGGGCTTTACTTAAATTGTAAATTTCACTACCCCCCACTTATTCGTTCTCCCTTGGGGAGGGGGTAAAGTTTACTATAGTTTATATAGGGAAATAACACTTTTGGGTATATTTTGACAACTTTCTGTAGGAAATTATTTTTACTTAGTGAGAATTATCCTTGAAGGAAGATGGTTTCAAATTGTAAAATTGAGATTCCTACCCCAACCCCTGGGGCCAGGGCGGGGCCCCAAAGGGAAAATTAACCAATATTTCCAAATTTTTCTCCTCCAGACTCAGAGGTACTACATTCATTTTCTCTGCATGGAAAGAAAATCATCAGGGGCTTAATTTAAATCGTAAATTTCAGAACCCCCGAGCTATCCGTTCTCCCTTGGGGAGGGGGTAAAGTTTACTATAGTTTATATAGGGAAATAACACTTTTCGGTATATATTTTATCCATTTTCAGCAGAAAATTACTCAAACTTAGTCAGAATCATCTTTGGTGAATGAGAGTATTACTTTGTAAAATTGGGATTCCTGCCCCAACCCCAGGGGCTAGGGCGGGGCCCCAAAGGGAACATTTACCAATATTTTCGAATTCTTATCCTTTGATGACATGACAAGTATTGTATTTCACTTAGTTAACATGCTGATTTCCACATCACATCTAAACAATAAAATAAAACTACCAGTACCTATGATATAACTCAGGTGACCGCTAAGGCCCTTGTGCCTCTTGTTTAATTTATTGGAGACACAAAACTACCTTGTACGAATAATTATTGATAAAACAAGAGTCCCTGCTTTTATCATGCGGTTGGTCAAGTTATTTAAATCCTGATAGGTTTACTAGTTCACTAGCGAAAAAAGAGATTTCAAAAATACTAGGTATCTTAAAATTTACAAAATATTTTTGCATTGTTGTCAGTAAAATATTTTGAATGCTGATACATGTATATTTGTTTATTAATTTGAACATTTTTGAAAATATTTTGGATTAAGATCCTAAGATAATACCCTCCTATTAAGTAAATATCAAACTGAACAGATCATGCTGTGAAGATTGTGTTGTATGAAAAATTGTGTGAGTTGTGTTCTTTTCAATATTATCTGCATTGTTCCCTGTGGGATTCAGCAGTTAGGAAATGTGTATCAGAGTTTTACCTTTCCCAAAATTTACAGTATCAACTGTGATGAAACTTTCACTTAAAACACTGCTCCATTAAATAATTCAGTGTACATTTCTAATACGGAATTTACCAGGCTTGTAAGCTAGCTATTATGTCAGTGCATTGTATGTATTATCGTTAGAGCCAAATAAAGGGAGTTGTAAGGAAGAAGACGAAACATACTTAATCAGGGAGAATATGATGTAAGTAATGACAAGTTCAAAGAAATGTAGATGCAGAAAGCCAAACAAACGAAAATATTTAATGCATTTGAAAAAAGAGGCGAGAAAGATACTATTATGTATTATGGCATATTTGAAGCAGATGATTCTTTCAACGCTTGAAATCAAATCAGTAAATATATGCTATCGGAAGAAGAAAGTATTTAAGATATATTAAAACGATAATATAAACTTATAAATTACCTGTACTAAATTGATCATTCAGTTTAACCTAAATATATTCTTTGTACTGACGTACCACAAGCAGGACCTCTATCTTTTCTTTTAAACGGAACTTTTAAACGGAACTTTAAAGTGACACAATCATTACATTTGTGTTATAACTGTAGTAGTGTGATTTTTAACGTTCTAAGCCTCATATTCACAGCTACATATTTCGTTTTGGTTTTTGCCTGTTCTAACAAAACAAAAGCAAGATCGGATGCTAGTAACATATGCGTATCAAATGCGTCCAAAATTGTCAACAATCCTTGGTTAACATAACCATTTTCATGATTCGCCTGTTCCGTTAAATAACGACACCATTAATTAGTTTTCATGATTCACCTGTTTCGTTAAATAACGACACCATAAACTAGTTTTTATGATTCGCCTGTTCCGTTAAATAACAACACCATTAACTAGTTTTCATGATTCGCCTGTTCCGTTAAATAACGAAACCATTAATT